TGAAATGACACTAAACAGAGCAGGCAGACTGTGCTGTGATGATACCTTGCTGTCTGCTGCTTTTTATTTGAGCTGTGGACTGACTGGGAGTCCCTCAGTGATAGTAATTAGCGGAAGCAGAAATAGCTAATTAAAAACAGCAGAGAGGGCCAGCTATACTTATAAAACTCACTGAACACGAGCTACACGATGAGAAAGTCCAAATAAGAGTCGAGTAAACACCTTTAAGGAACAGTCCAACTGCATTAGCCTTCACTTTAGGCTTTCAAGATCACCAGGACAGTTTCAGTTCATCGTCATTTGTGTACTTTAACGTTGGTGAAGATGAAATGACTTCAAGCGGCAGCTTTTGGGTTGGACCGAGTGCCCACAGGCATCTTAACAAAACCTGCAATTGAGAGAGGTTGGCAATTACCCACGATTACAATTATAGTGCTCACAGGCTCATGTCTGGCACACAGTGGGAGCGAGCTCAGGCCTTAACATTGAAACGGTGTGGGCATCACACCAAACAAAAGGCAGAGAGTGGGAGACGGCGAGGGACACAATGAAGAATAAAAGACTGAATAGCGGCGTTCCTCTCTGCGTTCTTCATTTTGTATTCACAGGCACCAGAAAATCTGCACGTAATTTACCCGCAAACCGAGTGAACCATTCCCAAAGTAAACAGGTATTATCTCGAGAGGCAGAGAGCAGAGAAGGGGATGATGCTTTTCATTCACGCTATACTTCATCACTCCAGCCTTTTTTCAGCCAAAGCAGAACCACAGGAAAATAAATACATGAAAACTGAAAAAAAACCACCAAGCTAGTCTGCTTCACAATAATTGTTGGTAGCACTTCAATGAAAAACACCCGGGGCGCTTAAGTTCTGCAAACATTGCTCTCATTCTTTGAGGAAAACTCTTTGCCAGAGCATCTGGTAGGATGTTCACAATATGCCCGCCTTGTGAAAACGGGGGGATATCAAATAGAGTCGACATCTCGCCTCCAATCAATTGGCAGCACACGGAAATTGCTGCAGTTAATGAGGTATTCACAAGAACATTAAGCCTTTTGTAGTCACTGTAAAACACAACTATTTCCAACTCATGAGTCTTTTTTTTGTACTGTATTATTAAGAAATCAGCAGACAAAGAATGTTGAGCACTTCAGGATTATTAGAAATATACCTGACCAGGTTCTGCTTCTCCGGAAGTGATCCAGTGTAAACAAGACTCGGACTCGGCGAGATTTATTGCAAAGACGTACTGAATGTTACGTCTGAAGTAGCTTAAATAACACTGTAATAGTAATGAAATGTGCATTCAAATGTGTGCAATAAAACCAAAATGTTTCAAAAGTAAATGAGATTTACAAAATGAGTCACGAAGTGCTTGTCTGACTGTTAAACAGCATCTGAAACCCTCTTTGAAAGAGAATCAAAGGGGAAGCGACAATTTCTGTGACTTTGCTGAATATCAACCATCACAAACATTTTAATCAGCAATTAGCCGAGTGTGATAAGTGTGCCAACGTTTCTTTCAAGCACTCTCTTATTATCAACACAACTGCTTCCATCAGCTGTGCACAACAACAGTCAACACCGTGCATGCCTTTGAGGAAAGGCTGTGCTGTAATCCCTCTTTGTAAAATGCATTGCATCTCGCCTTTTGGTGTGAAGGCGAGGTTTTGGCTCTGCGATTTTTCCTTTTATAAAACAATACCACTATTTTTTTCATTTTCTCCTCACTGTCTCATCAACGTATTAAGATTAACAAAGTAAGCCAGAGTTTCCTTCTGTATGCTGTCAGTCATCACCAGTATTGTCTCGTACCATGGCCAGCCATGAATGCATTTGGTGACAGAAGCTGGAAAAGCAGCACAAACAAAAAAATGAGATGACAGAAGTGTTTCTACTTTCTGCTTGGAAACAACTGTAAATGCTGTGGACGGATGCAAAATCCACTGGCTGCTACCCACCACGTGCAAACAAAACTGCAAAAAGCTTAAAAAAAAAAAAAAAGTATCCTTGGAGTCTGAGTGAGCCCCAGTGTCAGTGTATGAAGATGGAGTGTGACAACCGTGGACGAACACAACAGCTAGGAACCAGCTCCTGCTGCACAGGCCAGGTCATGTGGAAAATAACAATGACAAATATTAATAATTCAGAAATCCTGCTGCTTTCCCCACCAAATGCAAATGTACATTCTTTTTGACCCGGCCAACATCTCTGTTGCTTGTATAAAAAAAGCTGTAAGAGCGAAAACAACTAAAAATTGGCAACAGGAATGCCTTCTCACTCAAGTTCACAGTCAATTTGTCTCTCTGGACCTACTCCAACAGAACCAAACTTAAATATGACAAAAGACAATTTCCTGTTGTCCTCCCACATACCCCATCCTAATTGCAGACCAGATCCACCCTGCTTAACGTTTCTGAACCTCATAAGCCAACCCAAGTCCTCCTTTATAAAGCTTTCATTAGCCGCTGATTGCTGTCAGTGCCTGCTGGGCTCTGTAGGCTTTGGCCTTCATTAACAGACTTTGAGTCATACAATTGACTGTATGAGCCTGTGTGCAGTCTGTTCACACAGTCAAACATCACAAGAAGAGATACGTATTTATTTGATGTGTTGCTCTTTTCTACTCTGCCCCAGTCTGTTTTGTTTTTGTTCAATTCTTTCGTAAAGAAGCGTAGGCCGCAAGTGTCAAGTGAAATGTCGCAGCAACAAAATCCCCTGACAGCATTTTCTGTGTTTGTCTGATACCGAATGGCGGTTTTTTGCTCTGCCTCATTCCACGGGCGATTATTCTTTGAAAAGAATGATTCACTGCCACGCTGATGACATCTTTGCTTGATGCCCTGCAATCGACTGTGCACTGCTTAGCAGCACTCGTTCATTACTTTGGCCTGTGCAAATATGAAGGCACGATGTAAGTGTAGTCCCATTGTGCTTACACTCATGCAATAACAGACACAGAGCACCGCTGGTTGTTAGTCATTCACAGTGAGAAATCTGTACCAGGGCCATATGGCCAAAATCGTTTTTCCCAATATAGGTCATTTCATATTTCCATAACGATATAAATCACAATAATGTATGTTTTGTGGTGATTCAATAACTAAATAGTCCATAATAAATAACACGGTAAAGCCTATTTTTGTATATATAAATGAAAAGTAGTGAGTATTAACTGTTTTCAGTGAAATCATCAAGAAAAAAATAATATTTCCACATTTCTCAGTGAACTGAGCGGTAATGTAAAGTGTGATGCATAAACTAAATTTCAATGTTCAAATGATATTTCCCTGAAAACATTTCACATTACATTTTCAGAGAGTTTTGAGTTAGTATGCGCTTGTTTTTATCAATTGAAAATAACGTAATTGTGTATCGCGAAATCTCGATATGTGATGTCATCACAATATGATTTCTTGAATGAGAATACATTCTCATATTGAATTATTGCCCAGCCTAATCTGTACGACACATTGGTACTTCATCAGATAATCCAGGGTGCTCTCTTTTCATAATGTAGTGTTTGTGTTTCCTCTGGTCACAAGGTCACTCATTTTCAACTTGAAATATAGAAATACATCACTAGTTCACAGAGCGTGTTATTATTATGGGACAAGACAACGCCGGTAGAAAGTCTTTATCAGAATGAAGTCTACCGACCATTTCAACACATAACTTTTACTTTTCAAGTCTGTCTGTATGGGTTTTTTTTCTCTAGGTAATTGAAATAAAATTTTATATTTAAGGCGTGCAGAAATGCAATACTGTCCTGAATATGTCTCCTTTTACGTTTAGGTGAAGCTAATGCAGACATGTTAACATTTGTTTCTTAAATCACATCTTCCCTCATCTTCAGATTAGCCTACAGCCGTGATACGGTGGAGCTTCTACAGTACAGTGCTGTACGTAGGCTACATCAGGTTATGTGGGCGGTGCAGAGTGAGAACAGAGCTGCTGTTGTGCCTGCAGCGTGGAGCGGCATTTTTTTGAAAAATTAAAGCCCTCTTGAGCAGAAAACATGCTAATGGACCATAATGCAACTAATGGAGCGCATTAACCACGCTGTTATAGACACTCATGTTAACATTAAACATGTAAAAATGCACTGATTTCAAGCCTTAAGGAGCAAAAAGCAGCGGGTTTTCTCTGAGTGGCAAACTGAAAACAATCTTAAGCAGCTGGGAGCAAAATGGTGACAGAATGTTGTGAGCAGGAAGTTAGAATTGCTTCACTCTGCTTCGCATACTTCCAATGTTCACAGTCACGCCGAAAAGGGCAAATCCATCCACAACTACTTTTGTTGTGTTCATCAAATCTGAGTTTTAAGGTTGTTAATAAGCTCTTTCGCACATGTTACTAAGTAAGTATAAGTAATGTTTTTATATTCTGTTTTTAGGTGCAATTTTGACATCTAGGACAACGGATGAAAATGTATTTTCTAAGCTCACTTTTAGATTTCCTTTTTTGTGTTGATCGATGGGAATTGTCCCAGACGAAGTAAGAAAAACATTTACTACGTTGGATAACTTTATTAGACTTGATTTTATTTCAAAAAGTAGTAAATGTTTCCACATCTTCTCAAGTTAAATTAAAGCAAATGGCTTCCACAAGTTGGGAAAATCATGGAAAAAAGTACATTGGAAATTGCCTTTTTTATTCACTATGGTTGGAATTAATCGTTTATTTTTCAGAAGATGTTTGCGACAATGAGAAAGCATGAAATGCAACAAAGCCAGACAGCCAGAATCAAAGCAGGGACATTGCATTAGCTAACCCTAACTCTCATCCTCGAACAGTTTATCACTTCAAATACATAATTAACGAATACATTTAATTATCAATTATTTTACCATTAAGGTACCACTGAAACTGATAATAGTATCCACTAATACTCTTGGCCTTCGATCTCTTGCAGCGTCATTATCCATATTCAATATTAATAATTAATTAGTGTTTTAAATAGCACACTCAGCTTCTTGTTCACGATGGAGGTCCTTACCTTGCAGAGCCTCCTTGGCACGGTCCAGCTCCTGCTCCTTCTGGGCCAGCTGCACGCGGAGCTCGGTGGCGGAGAGCACGTCGGCCGAGCAGCCTCCCTGGGTCTCCTCCAGGTCCTTACTCAACATGTCCTTCATCTGCCGCAGCAGGTGCACCTCCTCCTGGAGCTGGGCCACCTCCTCACGCAGCAGGACTGCAACACACCAGAGACAAAACAGAGCTTTAGTAAGCCGACATCAAAACATGGCCCAGTACATTCGTCGTGTAAATGTGTGTGGTTTTGAATTTGCCAGACAACCATAGCAGTGAAATCAGTTTTCAAACCAAAGTAACAATTTAATTCCAGTTGCTAGAGAAGGCTCATATGCAGACTGGAATCCAATCTTAATCTTACAGAGCTGCGTTAGCTTTGGATAGCTACACCACCGCAGAGATGGTTATGTGTGAAAATCGATTTAACATCTCCATAGGAGGTCATGGTTTCATTTGTAATTGAGATAACTACATCACATTGACAAAATGACTGCGGGTAAGCGTCACATGGGTAGGGTGGGGTCCAGTGGATGAGTAGAGACAAGTCTTTGATGTAATAATTAAGTTCATCTTTGCTGCTGCCTGTTGATATGAAGTATAAATAAACAGAAGAGGCTCGTCTTCACATTCATCGTCACAAAGACGCAAACAACAAAATGAAGACAGCAGCGGAGACAAATAGATTTTTCCTCACAATTTGAGTCACTGGAAATGTTTCAAAGTGCTTTCAAAGAATCAGCATCAGAGAGGTTTAAAACAAGCCACAACAGACAAATGTCACACTTCAAGTTGTCAAACCTCCAAAACTAAATATTTAATCTGAAAATATGACGTTTTTGCACATTGAATGAGTTTGTCTAGGTGGAGCATATGGGGAGTAATTCATATAAGGATGAGTGGAGCCATTCTACTCAATTTCACGCCCCCTCAGGGCAGGGGGTTGGAGGGGTGGGGTGAGCGAAACTGCTCAGCCCCATCTCGCATGGCTCCACTATCAAGTGCCTCGCATACATTACACTTCACACTCTCACATCCCATGCCGCAATATTACTGTCAGAAAAAAATAAAACCCATCAGAGATGAATGAGAGAACTGTGAAGAGGAAACTAAATATGCCAAAGCACAGTGAGAGGAACAGAAGAATACAGACTGCACTTTAGCTTTTCAGTGAAGTTAGTCAATTCATCTGCTTTGCATTCTGTGGAGCATCAGTGGAAATAATCCGATAAATTCGACCCTTATTGCCCATTTAATACTGCGTGGTGTCTTTCAATATTGTTACACCATCAGTGAACTTTACATTACATCAAACAATGCCTGGCTATGACAGTCCAATGTTCTTAAAATGAACTATAGTTGAGACACTCTTTGTAAGGTTTTGTTATTTCATATCCCAGAGACAGTAAACTGAGAATGTCTCTGTATAGTGCAGCTAATTATTTGTGCATATGACCATTAAGGTTTGAATCTTGAATCTTGTAAATGCAGACTGGAGTACGTAGTAGTCGTGTCACAACATTGGACGGGTCACACTAGAAACAACCTCTACAGTAAACTCTGAACAATAAAACAAAAAAAGCTGAGGAGAGCATTGCATTCGCCCACAGCAAGGACTTCTGATTTGTGGTCATGTTTTAAGTGTAAGTGTGTCAGTCAAAGAGGATGATTGTAGGTCTGAACCACAGACGGATTATTATTTATAAAAGAAAAGGCTTTTGTCTGTCTTCTACAGGGAGTGTTTCTCTTATATCACAAACAAGGACTTAAGATATTGTACCTGAAGTAAAAAAGATCAGCTTCACAAAGGCAGTGTTTTTCTGTGTATGCCGTGAATGCATCAACTTTGACACTTTTATTGTTTTTGTTTGTCGTTGACTGTCACCTGTGGGAGTGACACATGTATCTTTAATCCTGAGTTTCGGCCATGACACTAACAGTTCATTCCTCACTCCTCTTACAGCATACCTGCTGTTACTCTCCATGTCTTTCCCTCCTGCACACCACATGGATCACTTTAGCTCTCGCCTTTCCTAAACTAAAATGAACCTTTAACCCCAGTTCCCTGCTTGTACGATGTGCACCTGCCTACCAGGGCTTTTGAGTCCTTTAATTTATGTTCACTGACTAAATGTAAGTGGCTGAGGATAAGAGCTGCCCGCTAAATAACTAAAATGAAATGTAAAAAGGGTTATTAGGAGAGGGGTCGAGAGAAAAACGTCTGCAAGTGGAGTGTCATTATACAGAGGTGTACTTAATGGACCCGGTAATAGAACCACATTTTACGGAGCAACTCAAGCAGCAACACCCTTATTGGCAAACCAAGAGCTGGCCCTCTCTGAAAACCACCGACCGCAAGACACAGTTCATCGGTGTTTAAAAATCCTATAATGGTCACAGACTCTGATTGATTACTTATTCATTTAGTTTGCATGTATCGATTGTGCAATGGCAGCAAAACAGGGAGTCATAAATAAAGAGCAAGGACACTGAAAATGTGTGTTTAATCTTCTATAGCAAGCCATAAATACTGGCATACATTTATGGTTTGTATGACACTCCCTTATAGAATAAAGTTGCTTCTTTGATAAATAGGGCTACATGTTTACAAAAAAAATTGCAAATAAAGTCACCAGTACAAATTGAATGTAAAGTATAAAGACGTTGAAACCTCCCACAGTAAGTTGTAATAACCACAACGTCAACATAAAAAAACATTTTACCCAGCGGTGAGATTGATCACCGTAGAAGGATAATGAACGGAATGGATTCACCGCTGCAACAAAGAGAGGAAACTAGACTCGTTATTGCAATCTGCTCAGGTGTGATTTTAAACTTCTTACTGTGGGGCATCACAAGAGTGTAAATAAATACCATATCAACAAAGTCACAGACAAGGAACATGGTAAATTAACCGTTCAAGGTCCAAACTAAAGAAAGAAAAATATCATTTTGTTATCATGCAACATGATAACTTGCCCAGATAACATCAGACTCTCACTGACTTTGAGTGCAAAAAACCTAAAACGGGACACATTGCTCATTATCAGGTTCATATTTGTATTTGGGCTTTCTACTAAAATATACTTACAGGCTTAAAACACTTTAGATTTCGTATTCTGAATATACCTGAATATATCTGCTTGAAACACTCTGTCTTCTTTAAGCCCCCCCTCGTGAAAAGCCCAGTCTGCTCTGATTGGCATTCAAGAAAAATATGGTGCACCTTTGCCTAGACAGCACTTGATAAACTGACCGGGTTGTCTTATTTCAGTTTGTGGGTTAGTAAGCACTCCAAATACCCAAATCTATGCGCACAAGCACTCAAAAAGTCTGTTTTTCCCCTCAAAGCTTTCATCATCATCATCCATCTTTCACTTACACCGTGAATTACCTCCTATTTGAATGTGTTATGGCATTGTATTTAGTACTTCGAATTACGTGTATTAAATATTATATGTTATAAATCAATACACTCGCCTTACTGAATTGTATGCCTGTCAATGGCCAATTGACTTTTCCATTACATTAGTTTGTCAGACGTTTGTCCAAAGCGATCACATTCAACCTCTACAGGAGAGCATCAGAAGGTGTCCTCATATTATACGTGCATCGCTTACGAACAAACAACTAAGAGCGTGATCAATCCTACGGCACTTAGAGGACTAGACTGAGGTGTCGACGTGTACGTGATATAATGACATATATGTTAACCCAGGAAGTGTAATAGCGCCACAAAACTACCAGGAAAAACACATTATTTATACTATTTTTACATACAAACTGGTGCATACTGTACAGGTTGTGAGATGTAGAGAATACGCAGCAGACAAATATATAAATTGGTGGCCTACAGGGAAAACAGTTTGCAGTCAGATGGTTAAATTTGTTCACTTTGCCAGCAAGAGGACCCGCAACATCTAGGACAGGAAATGCAAGATGAACTGCCATTAGTTGGGAGCGTGAAGGGGGAACAGATATGTTATTGTCTCCTCCAGCTTTTGTGCAGGCGAGCACAGTGCTGGAGCTCTCTAGATAAGACAGTCCCGGGGGTGGTGGGGTTGGGTGGGGGGGTGGGGTGGTGGGGTGGGGAGGGAGGGGGCTGAAGACAGCCACCTATTTTTCAACATCCGCATCGTCTCCAGGTTAGTGAGAAGCATGCATAGCAGCTCCGCATTACAAATGACAGTCAAGAGTGGGAGCCTTCTGATAAGTGCAATCTCTCCTGCAGGACTCCAGCTCATTCCCACAGAGACTCCTCCCTGCAACGTCTGCCATCGTTTGTGAGGCTTATAACTTAGCATACTTATGTACTGTATATGCAAATTAACAGAATAATCGTATTACTTTTCTAAGGTATTACATTTTGTCTCACGCACACATACACACACACATACTGTACATAGTGTAAATAAACACACATGTTCTTGCTAATTGTCTCTAGTACGAGTTAAGCCAATGCGGAAGTGTCTTAAACTTGCATTCTCTCCACTGGCCAGCAGGGGGCGACTCCTCTGGTTGCAAAAAGAAGTACGATTGTATGGAAGTCTATGCGGGCAGACAGCTTGGTGAGTTTAATTTAGTTTTATAAGAATGTATGGAATGACTTATACAACGACTTCTAGCCGACTGCCTGCATACATAGCTGATTGTTTTTGAGTTTGAATGAAGTGTGTTTTATGAAGCCTTACAGCCCGTTAGTGTCTACAAGGAGGGTTAGCCCATTGTAGGTTGTGTCCACTGCTGGACATTCGTGTTAAACATGGACTGTGGATAATTTCTTAAATAAAGGTTTCAGTGAATTTTAAAATAGAATGAAACCCTGAAAGGAAAATAATATAAATTTGCTTTTTAGATTATATTCATAAAATCATTTCACTACAACAAACAAATGTTACATATTTCACCGAAGGCTGTTTTCAGCTCCACTCCCGCTCAACTATGAACACAAGCCTTCTGGCCGTGATAACTTCTCTTTCAAAACAGAAAAAAAAGACAAATATAAAAAGAGATGTTTCTGTCAGCGTGTAGGACACACAACATTTGACAACACAGGGTTGTGTTTTAGTTTTCAGAAGTGTGACTCTGTTGCCATCACAACCTGCACTGGCAGGTATGAGAGGATGTATCAGGGTTGGATGTTTGCCGACTCTCTGCTGTAAG